CACGCGCGGATTGCTCAGGGGCACCTCGGCGGGTCTCCAGGATTCTCTGTACGGTCCTCTCTTCTCCGGCGCTCTGTCCTGTGATGTCTCACCGCCTTAGTGTCCCTGGACCGTCAGTGCCATCTCAATCAGGGACCCCTCTGGGTCCTGCCTGGTTTCCCCTCCCTCCACGGCAGCCTGGACACTTCCTCAAGGCAGCAAACGGGGGCGATTGTAGCGTTCACCCCACTGACTTCCTGTCTCTCAGGGTGACCGTCTTTCATGGCCTAAGGTCCAGTTCCTTGGAAAAGCTGGCATCGTGCCCTCGCTCTTTCAGATGTGAGGGGGTATTCGGTTCTTGTTACTCCCTCTTGGGCAGGAATGGAATTCGTGTTTCTATTATTTTAATGTTCACGCTGTCACAAGTTGGCCCGTGGCCGTCCCTTTGAAAGGCTTCTTTGCTCTTTAGCACAGTCCCTGCCATTGTCAAAGGCAGCCGGCGATACGAGAATACGATGTAAGCCTGTTCTGGTATTTCTGGGCCCCAAACAGCTACCCTTCAAGGGGCCCCGGCTCCCTGGGGTAGGAAACAACTCAGGTTTTCTTCTACATGAGAAATTAAAGTGCCGGACGCTGAGACGGGCGTGTTATCTCTTGTCTTTACTTGGTCCTCATTTCACAAATGAGGAAATTAAAGTTCAGAAAGGTAGAATGTCTTCCAGCAACACAGGGCTGCAGGGGGCCAGCAACACAGGCCTGCCTCAGCCAGGCTAGCGAAGCGGCCGGTCAGGAATCCAAGGCCTAGGAGACCTCTTGGCGGAAAAGAAGGCCGCTCTCTTGCCCGCTGCCTCTGCACGCGCGCCCTCGGACTGGACACTGGGAGAGACAGGGCTGCCCACCTCCTCGCCTTTCCTGTGGAGACCTCACAGCCTTTGCCTCTCAAAGACCATCTTTCTCCCATCCAAGTACTAACGAGGCCCGACCCTGCTTAGCTTCCGAGATCAGACGAGATCGGGCGCGTTCAGGGTGGTATGGCCGTGGACCATCTTTCTTTTTTTAATCTTTTTAAATGTTTATTTATTTTTGAGAGGGAGGGAGAGTACAAGTGGGGGAGGGGCAGAGAGAGAGAGGGAGGCACAGAATCCGAAGCGGGCTCCAGGCTCTGAGCTGTCAGCACAGAGCCCGACGTGGGGGCTCGAACTCGCGAGCCCCAAGATCATGACCTGAGCCGACGTCGGACGCTTAACTGGACAGCCGCCCAGGTGCCCCAAGGCCCACCTATTTCTCGACATGCTCCCTTCTCTCTGCTGGTCAGTGTCTCCTAACTGAACTCCTGCCCCAGCCTCACCCCTCCGGTCCCTTCAGCCAGAGCGGTCTGACCTGAGCATAAATTCCGCCCCCCACCCCTCACATTTAACAAACACTGAGGGAGTCACCTGAGCCTTGCAGGATGCTAGGCTTTAGGGACACAGACAAGCCACAGGGAGGGGTTGTCACCCCTGTCCCCAGGGAACCCACCGTCTATGGACGGGGGGGACAAACAGGCGAACACAGGGGTGTGGTTACAACGACAGGTCCCTGAAAGAAGGCCGGGCAGTTAATTCAGCTAGGAGAGGCGGTGGAGAGTGGGCATGAAAGGGGAAGTTCAGGAAAGGCGGAGAAGGGCAAAGACCCGCAGCCTCCCCACATCCCTCCGCAGGATCCAGGTGAGTCCTGGAGCGGGTGTGGCTGCTTCCCTACTCCCGCCCCCGGGGAGCCCTCAGCGACACTTGCCTGGCCCTTAGGGAAGACACCAGGCCACCTCCCCGGCAACACCCTCTCCGCTCCACCGGGGCCCTCGCACCCCACCCTCTGGCACCTGCAGCCTGGGGCGTCCGTCGGCATCCTTGTTCTGCGCACGCTGCCGTCCTCTTCGGGGCCTGGAAAACCTTCTCCTCACCTTCTGTTCAGATGTCCCCCCAGGAGACTTTTCCAGTGGCGCCATCGGCCACTCACAGCACCGCGCTCCCCGACCGTCTATCTTCTATCCTGTTTGCTGCTCAAAACGTTCCTCGTGTGCTTCCGCGTCTTACCTAGAGGACTGTGAGCTCTCCGGGGGCAGAAACTAGAATGACTCACCTCTGGGTTTCTGCCCCAACGCAACGGACTCCATTAAATGCTGCTGGGTGTTGGATAAATGGATGGATGGGTGAGGGGTGGGTGGTAGATGGAGGGGTGGAGGGGTGGGTGGGCAGGGGGGCA